GTCTTGCTTTTCATACATTACGTTGCAATAGTCTCGGTTGTGTTTAAACTGGCTAAAATGATGCCACCGGACTAATTTTTGAAGCATTCCTCTTCGTGTTGCCTATCGTTCGTGATACAGAATAAGACTGTATAGATTCCGACACGGGGAAATTTATTTAAGAAAGAAAGTATGGGGAGTGAACTAAGGTGAATGCGAGTTACGCAATGAATTTGGCTTAACCTATGAAGACTTGTCACATGAAATACGGAATGAAGTGTAGGCCAAAAAAAATATACATATTTGTAGCTCGTATGTATGTAGTGGTCAGTCTAGACTTAACAATCTTGATTGTTTTGAAAAATATTAAAACAAGTTGATAGCAAAAATTTATATTTATAATTACGTTGTTTACTTGAGCATGCATATGAATGGACACATCGTAAATAAAGAAAAGTGTTTATATTTACATACATATGTATTGAAAAAATTAAAACCAATTCGACTCGTAAAATCTTAATTTTTGTCACTTATGTACATATATGTACAACACAAAGTAAAATATTTTATCGAGACTATTAATCCTCTCTAGGAATATTTTCTACTATGGATAGTAAACAGGTTAAACGTGTCAAATTAATAAGTGTAACTTCGTTTACGTTTGCATAAATAGTTGCCTAAGCGCAAATGCTTTTATTTGCTTAGAAAAATCTAGAATTATAAATTTTGCATGCTGATATCCATTTAAGTTATACGAGTATGCCCGATTCAAATCATTTGCCTTGAGCTATTTGTTTTAATTTTGCGTATTTAGGATGACTTTTATAATTGCACACATATACAGGTAAATAATTTTAGCATCCAAAAATTATTAAAATAATTATCTTCATCACTAAAGTATTACATACCCTTACATGAGCTGTTTATTTTGAAAGTGGCATAAGTCTTTTTGGTTTTAAATCGCATTTGAAAATATTGATGCTAACTTATGAGAAGATTTACTTGAATTTATTTTCTTAGGAAATTTTTCTCAGTATAAACAATTTAGTATAGCCTTGAAAAAATTACCATTTCTCATTACGGTAAAGTGACTTATGCCACTCTCAAAATAAATAGCTTAAAAAAAAAATTACTGACATATCAATTTTGTCCGATGTGTATTACTGAAGTGATGTTTTTAAAGGAGAGTGATTTACTAAAATTGATAAATAAGTTACTTTTACTTATACATACACACAAAATTAGGGGCCAAATAGAGTAAAAATGCGTTTTATGTTTTTTCCCTCTGGCGTTGGGGTTTTTTAAAGGACCTTGAAATTTCAAAGTGCAATGTATTTACAATAAATATATTGGAACAAAATGAAAGAGAAAATTCTTTGAAATTCGAAAATATTTAACTTTTTTGGTTCACAAGGACGAATTGGTATTAAAAATGCCTTTATAATTATTTTTTTATTTGTTGTAGGTATTAAAGTAGAAGGACAAAATTCGAAGATGTGGTCGTGTATAATTATTTCAAAAATAAATATTGCAAATTTGCAAGGATGCTCAAGGACAAAATTTTAATTAGCTATTTCTCCATTTGCACCAAAAAATTTAAAATATTTCAATTCTACAGAATTTTCTCTTTTATTTGGTCCTTATGTTGTTATTATATATTGCACTAAATTTTTTGAATATCTTTCGGAACTAATCATATCTTTGAAATTTCAAAGTTCTTTAAAGAAAAATCCTGACGCCAAGGTCTCAATGTTGTGAGCGTATGTTTGTGTGTGTGTAAAAATCTTATTTATTTTTTTTTACTGAATAGTTGCCGTTAAAATGTAATTAGTGTTATTCGTTAATTCGACTTTTTCGAAAACGTGACTTATGCCACTTTCATAATAAACGGCTCATATCTACACATAAATATATATATGTATGTATGTATTTGCTTATTATGCGTACTTTCATTTTGAAATGATTACCGCTATAGTCACGTAGCGAATAATTTCGGTAAGAGACATTCAACTGGCTTATTATTTACATACATACATACATATATACATATGTATGCAAATACGTTGTCTACATTATTGTTCCTTTATCTATGCATAACGAATGCTGACATCTAAATCAGGGATATATATCCATCGCGATGTTGTATAAGCTTGGAATATAAAATCGCAATAAATGGTGGGAAAAAGAATATGTTTTAATTGTAGTACGATATGTAGACGTACATAAAAATTCCTGTTGTTGTACAAAGTTTATGAAACAGTACGGAAAGTGTTGGAAGTAGTTAAATTTTTCGAAATTTCTCGACCCCCAATACAACGTGGCTAAAAACTAGGGTGGCCAACTCGGTTTTTCCAAACCGGTTTCCACTGGTTTTTTTGGAAATCTGTAGGCGTTTTTTTTGGAATCTTGATTTTTCGAATATCGAATAAACCGAATTTTTTAATCGAACAAACCGGTTTTTCATATCATCCAAATCCAATAGAAGATTTAAGTTTTTCCAAGTTGTCGAGCTTAAGGGGAGCCCTTAAATAGTTTTAAAAGTATATCCCAAGTTGTTTCGGGATAAATGCTTGACGATTAAAGGCTTTCTACGTGTTTGGCCGAGCTTTTCTTAAAATTCGTGCCCTGCTTTTTTATAGCAGAAGTATACTCGGAGGTTTGCCATTGTCTGCCGAGAGGCGATAGCTATTTGAAAAAACAACACCTGTTGGTATTGCTGGGACCAGAAATTTAACCAGGGATCTCCCTAAGAGCGGTAAGCAACTCTAAGCACTCTGCTATGGCGGCAAGAGCACTACTCAAAACCGAGGAAAGTCAGAAAAAGTTCTATAAATTATAAGAATAAGACCAAACGTGAGTTTTCAACTGATTTCTTTTCTGTTAATAGTTTGATTGTAGTTTTTGGCCTTGACTTCATACCAAGATAAGTATTTTCACTGTACAAAAACTATGTAACACAAAACCGGTTTATCCGTTTTTTTTTCAACTTGCCATTTTTCGAATAACTCGAAAACCGGTTTTGTAAAAAATTTGAATAATCGGCAGTTTCAGGAGGAGAGTACTATAGTCCAGTATTTCGTCCGCGAAAAAGCTGTAAAAAATTATCATAAAAAATCAACGCAAATTTTAAGACATTTTTATACTAAAATTGAATGGGCTATAAAACTGCATACTTCTTATTAAAAATTTTGCAATTTTGATGAGATTTTGCAGATTTCTCCTAAATTTCGTATACAGTTTCACACTTAGATTTATATGGTGTTTATTAAAATACAAATGAACCAAAATTTTTTAGCACTAAAATACTGAATACTGATTTATTGATTAAATTCTTCTGTGAAGCAAATATGCGATTTTATATAGTTATCTATGTATTTACTTATATACTTATGTATGTTTTTTCCATAAAATCGAATGACTGAAGTTATCGCTAAATATGTAACTGACAACATAACAAAAAATGAAACCAATTAAAGTGCAAATTTCTGATTTTTCGTAAGCAATTTGGCTGTGAATAGTGTGCCTCTAATGTGTGATTTGTATAAGTGAAGGAATTATTTATTGTGTAATATGTCACCAGTTTTATTACTAACTTGACCCCTTGTAAAATATTAACGCATTACTGCCCAGAGCTAACACACGCCTTAACACATATTAAAGCTCTTCAGACGGTTGCAATATGCGCAACAGAGAATATGAAAACAAATTGACATCAATCAGTCATAATTTGCCAAAAAAACCAAAATGAAAAAAGCGAATTAATGTCATTGTTATTGCTTTTAATTGCAGGCCTTGAAAAGCATTGGTGATGCAGCAGTGGTGGTGGTGTCGCATTGGGGCGCATGCCTGCCAGCGTCTTGTGAGCCCACCGATGTCGCTCAGTTTTTGCAGAACTACTTGCAACGCCCGGTGTTAAGCGTCAACGAAACGGCCTGTCAGCTGAGCAACGTTGGATCCGGCAGGGCGTTGCACGTCGATGGTGGAATGTTTGCTTATGCGTAAGTGGGTTAATCATTTTACACACAACCATATGTACATATTTATATGCTAGGTAATGGCTTAAGTAATTGCTTGCTATTTTTTGTTTTTGTAAATTCGAATATTTTGCAGTGTTGTGCTATTTCTGTTTATTTTGCTGGCCACATTGAGCACCGCCTATCATTGCTACTTGATTTATGCGTCGAGAAGTGCCGATGATGTCTCGAAACGCGCATTGCAACAAGAAACATTGACAATCGCATTGTTGTCGTTCTCAGTTATAGGTGGGTGTGATATTTGCATATCTGTAGATTGGATGATATTTTTTTTTGTTTTCATATTGCAGAGAATACGAAGAAACTGTTTCAGGCGAGTAAAGACCAGATGGGGCTAAACTCGATAAATGGCATCAAAGCAATGGCAATGTTGTTGATACTTGCCGGGCATGCGCTGTCGTTTATCTATGGCAGTCCCACTTATAATGTGGCGTTCGTAGCAGAGGTAATAATAACCACTAATGTTAATTTATGTACATACATACATACGCATAAAAAACGAGTTTTGGTTTAATCGCTTGAAACCGTTAGCTTTAATGACTATTTCACAATTGTTTACTGAATGCTTGACATTTGTATTTAATTCACATACATATACATATATACAGTATTGACCAATACAATAGCACCCCCCATTTCAAAGTGATATTGTTTGCCACTCATGTTTATTTCTTTATTTTTAGGAATTTTCAAGTAAAATACAGTTCATTCTCCAACAAAAACCATATAAACCCAAGTTTTAGACTTTATAGAATACTAAAAAAAAAATTCAACAAATTTTAAATCTTTTAAAGGGCTACAAAAAAAATCGACAAATTTTCACCCAAATTTCAAAATTTTTTCTCAGAAGTGCTAGAATTTTTTTTTTTATATTAAGAGATATTGTTTGCCATTAATAATTAATTATTTCCCCTTAGGGACTTTGAAATGGCGGTGCTATAGATATGGCCAATACTGTACATACATATTATATATGTTTTTCTTATTTCCCTCTTGGCAAATCACCGCACATCTTAGCAAACGAAATTCCCCACATTTGCATTCCTCTACAATTCGCTATTATTTGTGGATACATTTCTGTTGTTGAGTGGTTTCCTGTTCTGTCGCATTATGCTGGTCGAACTGCATCGTCGTCGTGGTCAAATAAATCCGTTGATTTTGTACATTGGCCGCTACATTCGCCTGACACCGGCCTATATGGCAATTATCGGCTTCTACATGACCTGGTTCCCGAGCATCGGCAGCGGTCCGTTATGGCCAGAGCGCATCAGACGTGAACAGGAGCGCTGTCAGGCGTCATGGTGGCTTAATATACTCTATGTAAATAATTATTTCAACACGGATAAGTTTGTAAGTACATACTTCTATTACGCACATACACTCGTGCTCAGATAATTAGGTCACCTTTGAGAAAAATTGATCTAGTACGCTGTTTTTAATTATATCATCACTAATATTGTCATCAATCAGAAAGTAACTGTAACTGGAAGAAAAAGCGGCTAAAGAGTCGTTTAAGATAGCCGTCTACGATTCGTTTTCGAGTACTTTTTCGCTTGAAATTATCGATCGCCTACGAACAGTCGTAAACGGATTGAAAAAGCATTCTTATGCAAATATAATATATTATAAAATATTGTGGTTTAAGAAAAATTTCCAACAGAATGAAAATTTTTTCTTGTGCTGACAAATTACTACAAGCTTCTTTTACTTGAACCCTAAAACTTCTGGTGCAAGCACCACATGATGAATAATATTTCTGGATAAAAAGTGGATTTTATCTTACTCACGAAATTCCTCTTCAGGCAGTTTTATATTATTCAGTTTTTATATTACTTTCGTACCCAGTAAATAAAATCACTCTTTTTCGACACACGCGTCGTATGAGCAACATTCAGTACAATCTTCACGATTCAAGTCTACCTAATCTATTGTTTATTTTTTTTTTTTTTAGATGTCTAAACTGGTTGGGTGTCCCTGCTCTTAAGTTTACAGTAAAACTCTTCAATTGATCGCCTTTTTGGCCCATGCTGATTTTCATGACGCGATCGTGTTTTGACCAACAAAAAACCAATTCATCATTGTTATGCGGGAAGAAAAATTTCGACCTAGCGATAATTTTTTTTTTGTAATGTAACATTTTGAGGTTCTGTGCTCTTTGTTCAAGATAATGGCCGATTTTAGATCTTTCCTTCAATTAAAGGGATTTTTTTTTAGACTAAGAGCCGTTTTAGGAAGCAACCTTTAACTTTAAAGCTCACTTTATATTTAAAGGTTGTATTAAAAATAAGGTTATGTCTAAAGTTAAGCATTTCTATTATTGGTTTTTGTCGTATGTATGTTTCTTTGTTGTAAACCAATATAAAATCGATGATATAATGCTTTACTTTAGACGCAATCATAAATGCAACCTATATATATAAAGTGAACTTTAAAGTTACAGGTAATTGAGAAAACGGCCCCAACTAAACAAATTGTATTCTATCTATGCCAGCTTTAAAAATTTTGGTCAAATTCCCTCAAGCGCAGGTAATTTACTAATGCCATGTTTTTTTTTATAATATTGCATATTATGTTTTTGATTAAAATAGTATAGCTTGAAAGCTTTCATTAATTTTTCACAGAAAAAGGTATCAACTGACCTATTGGCAGCGCAATAAGCACCTTAAGTAAAAAAAGAATTTAGTTATATAGAGCTTACTTTATTAAATTTCAAAAGACACACGAATTCCCCGGTTCTATGGTAAAGTGAAACCCAGGTATCGTTTAAGTAACAGCGTCAGCCTTATCAAACAATTAGCATCTGTCATCCTTACAATTATTAACTACATATATCCCTTTTTAACATTATCCAAATTCTTACATAAAAATTTAAAGTTTGCCTCTCTTTGAATTTGTAGTGTATGTTCCAATCGTGGTATCTGTCTGTCGATACACAACTTTTCTTCATTGCGCCAATTTTCATCTATCTACTATTCAAAATGCGCAAATATGGCCTTCGCTTGCTGATTGCAGCTGTCGTTTGTACCACAGTTATTCCATTTGTGGTGACATTTGTGCGGCACTTGGATCCAACTTTGTTGGTCTATTCAGAGTAAGTAAAAAAATTCTAATGCTGCTACTTAAATAGTATTTTTTCGGCAACTTACTTACTTTTTTGATGTTATATTTTTGTAGCGAATTAACCGACTTGGCCAGTAATAAATATTACATTGGTTATTATATAAAAACACATATGCGTGCCTCGTCTTATTTTATCGGTTTGTTGACTGGTTATGTCGTGCATATTATGCAGGAGCGAGGGTAAATATGGCAAAACTATATATAAACAATTACATATAAAATTATGTAAAAAAAAAAAAAAAAAATTGCATACTTTGATTTAATTTAATTCCAGCACAAAACTACGCTCTTTGGTTGTACGCCTCGCTTGGTTTACTGCGACTTTGATCGGCGTTGCAGCCATGTTCTCAATATGCCGGTTCTACCGGAGTCCATATACATACATAGAGAGTTTTCTTTATGCCGGATTTCATAAATTAGCTTGGAATTTATCGGTGGCGTGGTTGGTGATGGCAGCAACAACAGGCCACGCCGGCTGGTTGCGTAATTTCCTAAGCAGTCGCTTCTTCGCACCCATCAGTAGACTTACCTATTGCGCTTATTTGTCGAATGGCATAGTGGAGTTATATCACTCGTCGAGTCAGCGTTATGCCACCCATCAGTCCTATGTGAACTTGGTAAGCATAACTTTCGGTAATATAACCTCTAAAAGTTTCTCGCGTGAATGATATATTGAATTGACTAGATTTCTGTCTAGCTAGGAAATAATACCCGGTGTGGGGTGGTTATGCAAAAGTGAAATTTTGTGTTTTACATGGAGTAACGCCCTTTTGTCGTCTTGGGCGAGTGCTCTTTGTTACACGTATTTTTAATATTCGGAATCCAGAGCTCATTTTATGCACTCACTTTTGCGTCTCTAATAGATTTTCGAAATATGAAGTGAATCACCACTTGAAACTTGCACTTTATTGTACTAAAATTTAATATTCTATGCTACTGCATACAGTTACTCCAGAAGTATTCGTTGTTTAGTTTTCTTTCACGATCTTCAAAACGTCTTCCAATATACATATGTAGGTACAGAAATCTTTGTCGTAAATTTTTATTTCAAATATAGCTTATTCAATAACAAAAATCAAGTAAATCAATGTTGAAAACTTTCTATAAACTTCGTGAAAATTCAGAGTTTCAAAAAATGGTCACCAAAAGTTCAAATTTTTAAAACTATTTTTTTTTTTTAATTTTAAATTTCGGAGAAACTTTTTCTATAATATTTCAAATTTTTCTTGTGCAATATTTTTCGTTTTGCGAACCCTATGATTTTTTTCAACTAGTTTTATTATGTATCATTCATACAAAAGGAATCCATTTTCTTCGAAATTGCTACAATATTTTCGATAAACAAATAAAAATTCAAAAATCGGCCAGTTTCAAACCACTGTGATCCGGCACGATATTAATGTTTCATTTGATTTTGGCTTCCTTGAAAAATAAATTCCATTTAACGACTTAAGCGACCAACTTGGTACAGACCGTAAACTGAGTTTTTTTTTTATAAATTTCGGAAAAGCTGTATTATTTACTTACATATGTAGGAATATACATACAGACATACATATGTATGTATGTAGATCCATGATATTTGCATCATGTGTAGATCAAATTAGCTAAATAATTTGTATTTATCTTTTAGGAGAATGACATGTTTAGTCACACGATAGACACATTCGTTTTAGCCTTTGTGCTTTGCCTACTTTTTGAATCGCCCATACATGCCTTGGAGCGGATATTGTTGCGGAAAGCGGGACGTCCTGAGAAACGCACATCGTCCACGGAAAATCGAAGTCCTAGCACGTCAGAGGAGCAGATGGCGTAACGAAGTAGTTAAATACTCTAAATACAAAAATAAATGGTTTTCTACTCAATTTATTTTTTTTTATAAATATTTTATAGTACATAGTTCTAAGTAAGTATGATTGATACTCTTACTATGTATTTTATGACATACATATAATATTTTGTGATGATTACATAGCGTTTAATTTTGAGTTTTAGGATTTTATACATACACATGTACAAACACACATGAGAAATATTCATATGTACATTTGTACATATGTAAATACATATTTATTGATGCATATGGGTACAGGAATAAATTGTAAAAGTATAAATTTTTCATAGTTGTCTAGACAAATAACTATACAACTAGGAAGTAATAAAACTTGCCGCACTATAAGTCACACATATAGTCTCTGATCTTGTTGTTACAAAAATTGTCAGGGAGGAGCTGTATGTTATCCAAAAAGAATCGTTGTATAAAAAATACTAGTTATGCTTTTCGCTAGGTTAGATTTCAATGAATGAATTGAATATGTGCTCGTGTATTCTTAATTAAGATTAAAAAAAAATAAATAAAAATGTAAGTAAATTTTTACGAAAATAAATATATACATAGTATGTATGTATGAATGTTAGTTTGAAAGTAAATTTAATAAAATTCGGGTTCGTTTTTGGGTTCGTATTACCAATTGTTTTGACTTCTCGTCTCATCTTTCAATAATGGGCTGGATCACCAAAAAAAAAAAAAAATCCAAAATAATTACGCATCGAGTTTTTAAAGAACACCAATCCAAACAATGTTTGTTCAAAAATAGTCCTGGGTCTATACATACGAGTATGTACATAAGTGTGGATTGCCTTTATCAAATTTTAGTCTACATGCATTCGGTCTTGCGCCCTAACAATGTAATTTTTGTAACGGGCCCCATTTTATTCTGACCACCATTTTGTTTCTTTTCATTGTATCGTATGCCTTATGTCTAATGATTTTCCCATTGTTGTCTTTTGTTTCTACTGAAATAGCATCTATCAACACATTCTCCATTCTGTCTAATCATCGCTTATTCGTCGTCTTCTTCGTGTATAGCTTGGTACATTTTCTTCTTTATCATTTTCTGGTCGTTTTTTAATTTCATCATTCTCAGATATCTCACTTTCTTTATCTGCAGTATTTTCCTCCTCCTCCTCTTCCTCCTCCTCTTCCTCTTCCTCTTCATCCTCGTTCTTATTCTCCTCTTCATCAGCCACTTCAACTTTGTTGTTCTTTTCCAACTCTTCCGTGCTAACTTCAGGGTCATCATCTCCCACGTCATCTTTAGCTTGATCAATTTGCTCTTCGTTATCCGCTTCAGCTTCAGGTTCAGAGGCCTCAGCGCCCGTGCCGCGTTCGGTTTCTTGTTCATACTCGCGCGCCGTACGTTCTACAAATATACGATTTATTACAACTTTGCGAATATGTTGGGCAGGCACATCGATTAGAAAAGCCAGTGCTAGCCCACTGATCAGAATTACTGCGATCTCATTAAAATTAACCTGTAAAATTTTTATGTTAAACGTCTTTTCGTAATTTTATGGAGGCTCCTGAACTTACCAAGTCACCCAGATGATATTTGTGTGGCTCACTTACACCAGCAGTGTTGTACAATACCACCACATAAGTCATCAACTGTATGGGGAACGTTATGCGTGAAAGGAAGAGCACAGGTCTCATTGTGGTAAGAAGGTGCAGCACAGACTGTTCACCCCTTGGAAACATAAAAATACACCAAGCTACAGATAAGCTGAGTATTAGCGGACACCAAGCGGCATAAGATGCCGCATCGCCAGCTGTATAAACGAAATCGGTGCGCATGCTCGCCGAGGGTGACCAGAAGCACCAGAATAATCCCAATGAGGCGCACAACCAACCAACGGGTATGAGTTCGCTGGCGATCTCCAGCACACCGGCTTGAGAGCGATGTAGCAGACCAGTGCCGATACCGAAAAGATAGGGGGTTGCGCGACTTATCGGCGAAGAGACGAGCAAATTGGCCGTGCGGTAAAATTTGCTGACGCTGTGAAAAAGGAAATGAAAAAAATCAGAGGCATACTATTTGTGAAAAAATTTCAAGTCCAGGGGGACTCACTTCATGCCATGGAACAAGGTCGTCGATAGGTATTCGCGTTGTGTGCGAGAGTAACGTGCTGCCACAGACATCGCATGCAGAGCACCATAGATGAAGAATGCAGCATCTGCATCGGTGTAGTAGAGCCACACGATCAACGGTCCCAGTATGTAGAGCTGCACTTCAAGAGCCAATTGTATGGACATAGGCGAACACTACAAACATTAGACAAGTGTGTGTGTGTTTTTTTTTTATAATACACCAGACCCTATGGAATTGGGGAATACATTTTTACTCACAGTCTCCTCAAATTCAATTGCATTCTGAACGCTAAAAAAGTTTCGCCACAACTGTTGCTCGCACAAACGTGTATTTTGGCCGATCAAATTCGTCCAGAGCGGTCCGGCGCCAAGCAGTGGAAGAATATATGTTTGGAACAACAGCACCGCATACAAAGTAGGTAGGTACCTAAGAATACGGCGAAGAGATCGAGGATGCGTTGGTAATTGGACGGACCAAGCTAGGGGTAATCTAAAAGTGCCTGCGTACCTTGTGATCTTTAAAGCCATGCGCTTTAACAGCTGAATATGCGATTTTTGCTCCATTTCTTCAGCCAGTTGATAAGCAATCAAGAAGCCGCTTACCATCAAAAGCATATCCATGTAAACCATTGGTGTGCGGAACAGGATGCTCTGTGGTTTTTCCAACGCTCGAACCATAGTATCCCGATTGATGATGGGAAGATGTCCAATCATAATGTATTTGAGGCTGACATAGAGGGCGAATGTGGCGCCCAGTTTGAGCAAATTGAAGATCGGGAATTGCGTTTGCGAAGAATCGCTGCCAAGCAATGCGGAAACTGTGCGTTGTGGTGAGAAAGTACTGACGGTGTCCCGAAGCACGGCAGTCAGAGACTGAAGTACTGTATATGTATGGGTAAATGCGTAAGGCAATGCTATAAATATATGTATAAAAAGTGATCTAACCGCTATAGGATGGTTCAGGCTTCCCGTCTCCACTATCTGTTTCCAGTGTTGTTTCCCTAGCTATGCCATCTTCCGCTGCGTTCTCGATTACCGTTGAATCAGTAATCGCCTCCACTGTACTTTCGTTTCCTTCGCTTTCACCGTTTGAGTCTGTTTTAGTCTTCTTGAATTTACTAAGTACCCAGACTTTTATTTTCGACTGGTATTTATTGAGCAATGAACCAACGCATAGTACCACAAGTCCACCAATACTGAATCTACATATGATGTGTGTATGAAAGAGAAACTTTATTAAGATCTTTAAGGTCAACTTATAAACGTGAAAACTGTTCCATACATTGTCAGGGCGAAATTGCGATCCTTTTTAATGAGTTTCATGAGCTTAACATGTGATCGGGTGTAGCAATCATTGTCATCGACTTCCACATGAAATTCTATACCTGTCGCATTGTAAGCACGCAGATTCGATTCGACCATTTGTTGTACTACCTCACTGCTGCAGAGATTTGGTATGCAAACGCCCCAGTTGGCGATGTCGTAGCGCGGAGCGAAATGACTGGGCTGGTTGGAAACAAATGATCAAAAAATTTCAATTAAGTTTTAAAAAGAACTTCGTGGAGAGCCTTCTTCGACATTTGTTGAATTGTAGGATTTTGAAATGCAATAACGGTTCTAACCCCAATACAAAGTTTTGTTAAGCTAACTTTACTCTTGAAGAATACTTGGGGGGTTACAGACTATATTGTCGAACATAAATACATAAGTAGGTATAAAGACGAAATGAGAAATTTGACGATGGGTCTAAAACAGTGTTCGGTATTGAAATAGAAAATTTGCGCTCAAAAGTAAACTTTTCTTACTTGTTTGTTCACCTTCCCCCTCACTATCAAAAGACGGACAAGCTATCATTAAACGATGTCTTATGATCTTATTCACAAGGTCCACAAATACAAACATTAAAAAAAAACCTATGGATCAAACAGTCTACAGAGAGGATTTGAGCGGCATCCACCCAGAGACTGTCACCATCTTTTGAACTTTCATCCCATGAATCTCATCGTAGTTCTATCGCTAGCTAAAGTAAGAGTTTCAGTTGCCTCTTGAGACTCCACAGAAACGTTCTTTTAATGTAGCGGGCGAAAATATTCTCTCTGACATACTGAGCAGATGTCCAGCTTTAAAGGCACCCCGTTAAACCCAACTGGAAGTTAACCACTGTCAGGGTTTCCCCTAAACTAGGAAGGTCTCCGGAGACGTCCACGAAATACCAAAAAGCATTATGCTATTTGATGTGGAGTTTGAAAGAAGAGGAAAACGCTTGGATAATATGGCCTCTAATGCTATATGCACCTTACGGATCAAAAGATCAGCCCAGTACTGTCCCGTGGAATAGTCCGTGGCTATATGAAAATTTATCGAAGATCTTAGGTAACCCGCTGTGGCTGAGTGGCTAGAGGTGCATATTACTCCGTAGTACCAGGGTTAGATCGCTAGTAGGCGCAACATCTAAATTATAAAACGTGTTTTCTAACAGCGGTCGCCTTTCAGCAGGCAATGGTAAACCTCCGAGGGTACTTGTGCCTTGGAAAACCTTTTCATAAAAACCATTTGCTGTTCGGAGGCGGCGTAAAACTTAGGTTAAAGTGTGTGTTAAAGGTTAGTGTAACCGTTAAAGAATTTTTCGATACTATATAATTTCCTCAAATGTTAAATACCACCACTCATACAGTTGTATGTATATAAAATATTTGCTCACATTTCCAAAATGACTTCTCCAGAGTGCGCGCCCCTGCGCATAATGTAGAGGTGCCCTCAGCTCCTTTGTTGAAGTTTGCATTTCAATGTGTGCCAGACAATATTTCCCGCGAATGCGAACCGGAATTTCCGGTGTTACCTTCACCCTAGCTTTCACCTGCATGCATTGGTCGAAGTCTCCGAATTGGTTGATATTGCCACGCAACAAACCTGCACTAATTTTTCCCGTGGCGTCCAACACTAGAAATTTAAGAATAAATAATTTAAGGTCTAAATAAATGGCATAGATGTGTTTGGGTTAACGTACTCTGTAGCGTCCAAAACTTATTGGCACGCAGCTGTCGATGAAATATCTGCAATTGTTGTCTGCATTCGGTGTTGGTAACATGGTCTGGATTCAACACAAAGCTAGGTAGTGTATGCAATATGCTTTCGAAATTTTCCTGAGACATTGTGGTGGTCGCCTCATCTGAATTGCCGTTCTGCGGGGAAGCGGGTTCTTTAGTTTGACGGCGTATTGGCTTTGCCGACTTGCTAATGGGAAAGAAACTGTTGAATGGCCAACGATTGAGGTAGGAGTGCCAAGACTCAGTATCATCCGGTTCAACGGCTTCCTGTCGCTCAGTGCGTTCATTTCGCTCACTCAACCATTTCAACCAGTCAATAATGCCGTTTGATGGTACTTTCTTCTCAGCAGAGCTATCTTCTTCACTCGTCGACCTCGGCTGCGGATCGGCATCGCCTCGGTCACCACTTCCACCACCAAAGAGATTTCCAAATAATGAGCCAAAGAACGTTTTCGACTCTTCGCTTCGGTTGCTTTCATCGTCTGCTATTTTGTTCTGTTTCTTAGTGGTTGAACGTTTTTTCTCATTCATCGGCGTGGAGGTGGTGGTAGCGCGT